TCCTGCTGAGTTGCCCACACGTTCCCTGGCGGTTTGCAGCTCGCCACGTGTGGTTCTTCTTGGCAGGAGCTCCCAAATCCCTTGTTAAAAGCAGTCTGTCGGGGCCTGGGGAGCTTCTCTCCCAGCCAGAGCCACCCGAGCCTGGAAGGTCACTTTGACAGCACAGCTTATTTGCTGGGCCAGCACGTGGGAAAACCCACAGAGCAGAGTTTGCTCATGCCTCAGCCTCTCCCTTCTCTCTGTTTATTTATTTCCCCCTCTCCACAGACTTGTCCAAAGCAAACGGGGGCACATCCCACAGGCATTGCCGGGGGGGGAGGCTGCTGTTCCACCACGCTGTGGGGCTCTCAGGATGTTTATGTGTTGAAAGATACCTGGGGGGAAGGAAATTTGGGCTGGCAAAGACTGTTGCAGTGACTTGGCTGGACCTAGCCCAGATCAAGAAACCCTCAAGTCCTGTGGTGCGCAGCCCCAGCCACTTGCCAGTCCTCTGTCATCTTGATTTAATATTGACAGCTCACGGGCCTCTTTTTGTGGTCAAAAAAGCAAAAGGAGTGGGGAGAAATGGCACCTTATCTTCCTAATAATGTAGCTCAAAAGGCCAGCATTTCACATCTGAGGTCAAGCTTGGCTTTTTCCCCAAAGGGCTAGTTCTCTGTCAGCCAAGGTTCACAGCCAGGCTGTGGACAGATCACCAAACTGATCCCTTGCCTTCTCTTCTCCTTTGGTGGCTCTGTAAAGCTTCCCAGCTTCCCTCAGCTCAGCAGAGAGGAGCAACCAGGGAGGACTTGCATTCCTCCAATGTGCTGCAGGACACTTTTTATCAGCCTTCCCCTTAGTGCTGACAGAAGGAATGGGACACCATCATGTCTCAGAGGCCCTGGCTTTTAAAAATAATACTCTGGCATGGTTTGGTGGTGAAAAAATCCTTCCTGAGGGGTTTGGAGTGGTGCTGGCAGCATCTGGAAGGGGAACAGAGGCAGAGCTCCAAGGTGGGAACTGCTTTGCTGTAGTGCCAGGTAACCTCAACGCCCAGCACCCAGAGAACCATCCCCTTGGTCTCAGAGCTGTCAGAAAGGAGGACGAGCTGTGTGAGGAGGATCCCTCACCACCAGGCTTTCAGGGTGGCTCTTTGGCAGCCTGTGTCAGGCCACAGGGAAGTGCAGGGTGTCACTTTTCAGAAGAGGCTCAGTTTTCATTGATTCCAGGGGATGCTGCTTCATTTAAAAGGCAGATACCAAGATGCAGTTCCTGCTGTTATCTCCTCTAGCTGGGTAGAAGGTCTTGTTTGGGATATTGGGGGATTATTCCCAGCTCTTGGCCCAAGAGGGATGTTCTTGTCTGCCTGCTTCAGCTTTAAGAGCAGCAAGAGGGACGTTTCTTCCTCAGCAGAGCGTGAGGGTGCAGTGTGGCTCTGTCAGATGGTTGTGCTCAGGGATAAAAGTGCCACCTCCCTTTCAGAAGGAAAAGACCCTCCTGGGAAGCAGTGCAACTTCTCTGAACGTCCCCCTGGACTTGGCTGAGGTTTGCAGAGGCAAACATCAGCCCAGCCAGGTGCTGTCCTGGCCTGAGCCCTTCCTCCTGCCCTGCTGGTCCCTCACCCCCTCCTTTCCCTGGCGTGGCAGGAGGCCTGTGAGCGCAGCTTGGCTGAGATGGAGTCGTCCCACCAGCAAGTGATGGAGGAGCTCCAGAGGCACCACCAGCGGGAGCTGGAGCGGCTGCGGCAGGAGAAGGAGTGGCTCCTGGCAGAGGAGGCTGCGGCCACAGCAGCAGGTAGGAGTGAGCACCAAACACTGCCCCAAACTCAGGGAGATCCCTCCTGCCTCTCCCAAACGTCTCTTGCCAGAAACCAGTCATCCCAGTTGATTGCTGACCTTACTGGTGTAAGCTGATGCTCCTTCGAGCATGAGCTTGGTGATCCCCAAACCTGTGCTGCAGGGGCTGTGTGGGCTGGTAAGGGGGATGGGGTGATAAAGATGCTCTGGGAAATGGGGTCTTGCCTCTGTGGAGGGGTGGGAGGGGGCCAGCACCTTCCTGTAGGTGGGCAGGGCTGGCAGAGGTAGCAAGGAGCTCCCACACTGCCCTGTGGTGTCTCCTTGGCAGCATTTGGTGCATGGGGATGATCCTGAGAGGTGGAGAAAGGTGGTGGAGGATGCCCTGAGGGTTGAAGGGAAGGTGGGGGAATTGCAGAAGACAGGTCTGGGAGCCTGCAGCAGCAAGAGCCAGTTACCTGGTGTGGTTTCCCTGAAGGTAATCCCCAGTCTGTTGTTATCTCCCTCTGTAGCCATCGAAGCTCTGAAGAAAGCCCACCGGGAGGAGATGAATAAGGAGCTGGGCAGGACACGGAGCTTCCAGCAGTGCAGCTCCATCTCAGATGCCCTCCAGAAGCAGCACCAGTAAGAAACCACCTCTTCTGCTTCACTTGCCCAATACTGCTGCCCTGGGCCAGCATCACTGCATGGCTTGAAGCTCTTAGAGGCACTCTGCTCATGGATGGGAGGGTGGGAACTGAAGCCTTGGCCCACAGGGGACATTATTTTATGCTAGCGAGACTGCTGTGGGCAGAGGCTGCCTGTGGCAAGGAGGAAGGCAACACCAGTGGCCAGCAAGGATTTGAGGGGCAGTGATGAGCTGGTGCCTCTTTGCAGGTCGGACGTGGAATCCCTGAAGCGGGAGCTGCAGGTGCTTTCTGAGCAGTATTCCCAAAAGTGCCTGGAAATTGGGGAGCTCACCCAGAAGGCAGAGGAGAGGGAGCAGACGCTGCAGCGCTGTCAGCAGGAGGGAAAGGAGCTGCTCAGGAAAAACCAGGCAAGAGAAAGGAGGAGCACCTTCTTCCCTCACACAGCACAACCCCTCTGTTAAAACTCCCCTGTTAGTCCACGCTTCTTCCTTTCCGAGAGGTTATCATCAGAAGGAAAACTAAAAATGGAGTTAAGAGGCTGCAGATGGGCTTGTCTTAATTATAGAATCATAGAATCATTGAGGTTGCAAGAGACCTCCAAGATCATCAAGTCCAACCGTCAAGCCAACACTACTAAGTCCTCTGCTAAAACAGATCAGAATCTGTCAGGGTTGGAAGGGACCACAAGGATCCCCCAGTTCCAACCCCTCTGCCATGAGCAGGGACACCTCCCACTAGATCAGGCTGCCCAGAGCCTCATCCAGCCTGGCCTTAAAGACCCCCAGGGATGGGGCCTCAACCACTTCCCTGGGCAACCCATTCCAGGGTCTCACCACTCTCATGGGGAAGAACTTCTTCCTCACATCCAGCCTGAATCTACCCACTGCCAGCTTTGCCCCATTCCCCCTAGTCCTAATTATGTCTTAATTATGATGTTAAATATGGCGAGCTTGTTCTTTCTGCTGTTTGTAGGTGCTGCTGTAACCTCTGGGTTTACAAGGAGTTCTCTAAGCTGGAGTAGGGCTGGCATGAAGACAGAGGGGGGTTGGGACATGAGAGAGGCCTGTGCCACGGCTGCTCCTGACCTCTTTTGGGTTTGCCTGCAGGAGCTGCAGACTCGCCTCTCGGATGAGATCGGGAAGCTCCGAAGCTTCATCTCCTCACGGGGCTCCCCGCACAACAACGAGCGGAGCTCCTGCGAGCTGGAGGTACAGACACCCTCCAGCTGGAGGTTTGGGCTTTGGGGAGGGGACCAGGGGGGTGCCGGATGGAGCTCTGCAGGAAGCAGGTACACACAAGGTTCCTCTCCAGGGCCGTGGGCACCGTTTCCTGCCCCAGCCCTCCTGGCCCTTCCTTCCTCTCGCGCCGGGGCGCGCCGGCCTTTCCGAGGCAGTGGCTCTTGAGTCACCTCCTGGTTCCTCTTTCCTCTTGCTGGCCCAGGTGCTGCTGCGGGTGAAGGAGAACGAGCTCCAGTACGTGAAGAAAGAGGTGCAGTGCCTCCGGGAGGAGCTGCAGATGATGCAGAAGGTCAGTGCTTTCTGGGAGCTGTCGGGAGAGGGAAGGGAGGGGTGTGCCAAGGCTTCATGTCAGCAGGGTTCAGCTGGGTTTGGTGGGATCCTGAAGCCAAAACTTCTTATCACCTGCGCTCTCCTTGTCCCTGTTTGCTGCTGATCCCGTGGCAGCCATAGGTTCCAATGTGGCCCAAATGGACACGGGCTTCAAACCCAGGGCTGGCTTTCCACTCCCCACTTGCTGGCCCTTCTCCTGCTGGGCTCACCTCGCCCTCCACCTCCTTAGCATCACCTCTAAAACCTCCTGACCCTTCTCACTCCCCTAGCAGGATAAGAGATTTGCCTCAGGGAAGTACCAAGACGTCTACGCGGAGCTGAACCACATCAAGGTGCGCTCGGAGCGCGAGATCGAGCAGCTGAAGGAACATCTCCGCCTGGCTGTGGCTGCCCTGCAGGAGAAGGAGTCTCTCTGCAACAGCCTCGGCGAGTAACGGTGAGCGCAAGGGCTGGAGGTGGCCGAGACGGGCTGCCCTGCTTTGCCAGAAGGGTTGGAAGCTGCTGGTTCCTCCTGCTCCACTCGGTGCTGGCGTCTGAGCGGCAGCGTGGGGGCAGATGTTTGCTGCGTTCCCTTTTGAAGCATAGAAGATCTGGGCTGGAAGGGACCTCCAAAGGTCATCTAGTCCACCCCCCCCCATCATTAGCAGGGACATCTCCAACTAGATCAAGCTACTTAGAGCCTCATCCAGCCTGATCTTGAATGTCCCCAGGGATGGGGCCTCCACCACTTGTCTGGGCAACCTATTCCAGTGGTTTGTCACCCTCATACTGAAGAACTTTTTCCTAATGTCTAACCTAAATCTACCTTTTTCTAGCTTAAAAGGGTAAAAAAAGGCTTAAAAGCAGTTACCCTGTCAGAAATTTGAAGTCTGCCTCCCTGGTTAGACCCAGTGCTAGTCCCGTGCTTGCCTGGGGAGGGAAGCAGGGTGACAGGAGTGAGGGCATCCTGTTGGCCAGAGCACATCTTCACCCTTGGATGCCATGGCCATCAGGAATGGGGTTAGCCAACTCCACCAGCACTTGCTGAGGGGCTGCCAAGACGAGTAGGTCATGTAGCAAGGTGCCAGGCATCCATCTCCCAAGGAAGCAGAAGGGCCACCATTGCTGTGCTCAGTGGAGCCTTTCTAAACTCATTCTGGTTTTGTCCCTTTCTAGGTCTGCTCTTCGTTTGTTTCTCTGTTCTTGTTTTGTATTGGCCCTACTCCTCGCTTGTGGGGAAGGGGAGGTTGAATCCCACCTGATATCACCTTGGCAAAGAAGCCCACACATCCCCCCAACCTCCTCACTCCCCTCCCAAAGCTTTTTTGATGAACCCCTTTTCCTGTTTACCTGAGCACGTTGTTTGGACTGGCTCCTTACATGCACCTTCTTCAGGATTTTATATGTGATAATTATATTTTATAGAGGAATTTTTTTTTTTGCCCCGGGAAGAAGAAGAAGAAGAAGAGGAGGAGGGGGGGAAAACTATTACTACATCACCAGCATTTTCTAACCTGAAAAAGAGAATCTGGTTTTCCCCGTCCTTCCCGGCCCTGTTGCTCCCGGCCACACAGCCACCTTTGGCACATATTCCCTCTCTTCCAAACATCTCCATGGCCCTCCTGGGATGTCTGGCAAGGACCATGCTCCCCACTCCTTGCCACTTCCAGCGACCTGTGGAGAAGACATGCAAGCCATAGGAGGGAGCTGCTGGGGCAGTCTGCCATGGACATGCTTGCCTGGGACTTTAGAAAGAGGAGACCTTGGCAGGAGTCCTCATGATCGAGCTCTCTCCGTGACTTTCCTTTGGCTCCTTCAAGAATCCAAACTGGCAGGAGCCCAGAGCCATGGGGCTTCTCCTTTCTGAGGAGGAGGAGGAGGAGCTGTGAGGCTGCTACTGCACCCGCCAGAGCCAACCTCCCCCAAGGTGGCAGCTGCTGCTGCTCTGCTGCACCCTTCCACTTTTAACTTAATAAAATCTCCCCCTTTTGCTGAGAAAAAATGTGTTCCTTGAGGCTTGCCACGTGGCCCTAACCCAGCGTGGCAGTCGAGGGTCATTTTTTTCAAGTTCCTTTGAGGCAGCCTGACCTGTGTCTCTTCTCTCCCTCTGGATTTGGAGCACTCCCAGCCCCTGTCCAGAGAGTGAGAGGAGCCCTGCATTGTTATTATCCAGCTGTCTGCTCCACCTTTGGGTTTCAGGGGGAAATAATCTGCTTCACCATACCACTCCACAGCCCCACAGAGGAAGAGCTGAGCCTGGGCTACATCACTAAACCCAGTTTTGAAGGAGGGGCAAACAGCAGTGCAAATCGCTAGCAAAGTAAAGAGCAGGCATAGAAGCTGTGGGGGATCAGAGTGATCTCAAATGCTTTCTCTCTCCTGGTTTGGGGTGAAGCATGTTGGGTTTTTTTGGCAGGACAGAGGGCTGGGGGTGACTGCTCTTTGTTCAGCCCCATCCCAGTGTAAACATGAGCTGCTGGCTCCCTGTTGTGCCAGTGCAGAGCCAGGGTTTGCTCTCACTGCTGTGTGGCCTCCTGCATGTGGTCTAAAAACCCTCTCCTCCCTGTGCTGCCCAGAGTCCAGGCTCTTCCCTCGGCCTCCCAGCAGGACAGGACTGTTGGCATTGAGTTTGGGGACAGGACAAGCATTCAGCATGCTGGGGGCTGGGAGGGGAAGGAAGGCAAAGAGGTGATAGAGCAGCTCAGGGCAACTGCTTCCAGGCTGCATGGCTTGGTCTTGCTAGGGGGGATTGGAAGGACCAAGAAAGGAGCAAACCAGTGGGGTTTGGGGCACAGTGTTGTAGGCTGGGGAGTGTGTGGTTGGTTTCAGAAGAAAACCCCTGAAACAAGTCTGCATCATCATATTTACTCATGGGGGAGGAAACCCCCCAAAAGTGAGGCACTGGGGGTGAGCGAGGGGTGAACTGCAGACTCCTGGTACATGCTCCTTCTCCGAGGGGTTCAGTATCTCCTGTTTGTTTGGGTTTTGTTGGCCTGGTGTTTTTTTTTTCTTCCCCTTCCTGCCTGGGTGCTGCTGACCCCGATAAGCGTCTCGTGGCGGCGCGGGTGACATGTGCGGGTGCCTGACATGCAGTCGAGCTGCCCCTCCTTGGGGCTCTGCAGCTCGTAGATCAGCCCCTGGCTGGGTAGAACATCCCATCATCCCAGGGTGGTGGGGAACAGCCACCCCCTCAACCAACACGGCCTTAATCGGGCGGCCCCCGTCTCGCCTGGGGTGGGGTGATAGGGTTGTCTGTCGTCTCTGTCTTGCTATCTCCTGGGTGCAGGGGACCTTGAGGCTGGGGGGAGCCAGAGGGCAGAAGAGGCATCCAAAATACCTGTAGGTGATGGGCTCAGTGGTCACCAGAGCCCAAAAAAGCATCCCCAAAGCAACATGTTGAGTCGTGGCTGTGAGAAACATCCCGGCCTTGAGCCTTGGTTGTATGAGAGCCAGCACCCCAGCTCACAGATGGAGCTTGCCCTTAAAATCAGCTCATAAATCTCTCTGTAAATGGTTGTAATTGGGCCAGTAGCCAGAGGCAATAACCCTTTGCCATTTTTTGGCATCGTTCATGGCTCTGCCATTAGCCCCCTCGTGCTGGGCTGACCACCAGGGGCCCTGGGGCTGAAGCTCTGATCAGCACGTCAGGAAAATCAGCCAGTTTCCCTGTGTTGCTGCTAAAAAAAAAATGGCTGAAACGCTTGGATCTGAGGGTCAGCGAGGACAAGTCCCACTGCAGGGGGGGTTTGAGCCTCTTTGGAAATGGAGACTGGGTAAAATAAAATGTCACTGCTGGCGTTAGTTGCCACAAGTGCCCCGGTGTACTCGGGTGCCCCTCAACAGCCATCCTGCCCCTACAAGGCAGGGGCCGTCACCCAGCAGGTCCCTGATGGACAGGGTTTGACCACTGCAGGTGAAATCCACAGCTGAAGTGGGTACATCCCTGTGGAGTCTGCTCCAACGAGGCACAGGGAGGGACCAGGAGGCGAGTGGAACGAAGGAGAAGATTCCTCTGCTAGGCTCTGTCCTCTGGGGTGGGTTGGGGAAGGATTTCCCAACCTCTCTGCTGACTAATGCCGGGAACGGGAGGCACAGAAGGCTTGGAGGGGTTGGGTAGCTCTCCTCAAGGAGAAAAGGGGGTGCACGAGGGTAAGCCACCCCTCCCTGGGCACGGTGGCAAGTTCCTGTGGCCAAAGATACGGGCTTTGAGTGGTCCATGGGAATAATTTTTCTCTCTGGGCGAACCTTGTGTTGCCTGCAGCGGATCCCACCTCCCAGAGGCATCAGGGCGTGTGCTGCCTGCAGCATCTGCATCCCACCTCCAGCCCTGGCATCCCACCAGGGGCTGGAAAACCCTTCTTGAGCCTGGCCAGCTCATGCTAAGGGTGTCAGTATAACCATGCAAGGTTCAAGGGGTGCTTTCTGATATCAAAGGGGGTATTTAGGGGTTACCTCAACCAGGATCCCCTCCATGTCCAAGGCCAGCAGCCTGATGAGCTGTGACCACCCACCCACCCACCTTCCCTCCACCGAGTCACTTGCCAGCACAGGATCTTCTCCCTGTTGTGATGGGCTAAAAATCAGTGAGCTGGTCTGGATGAAGAGCTGGGAACCCTCATGTACAGGGGAGGGGCTATTTGCCCACCAGCAGCACCCTCCAGAGGGGGCTGAGCAGCCAAGGCCAGATGCAGGAGCTGCCTAGATGACCAGCCTGAGATCAGACCCCTAATTTTCATCTGCCTTAAGTGAGGTGAAGCATCTTCCCTCCTCCCTCCCTGCCTCCCCCTTGACCCCCACCGCTCGCCTCCCTGTCGCTGCGTTGCCCTGATAATGGCTGCCTGGTTTTTAAGGCTGGAGGCTCTGGGGGGAGCTTACACCCCCCCCCCCCCCCTCGCCTCCCCCCCA